GAGGATGAATAAGACCCGATGAAAGGGGGCAGGGAAGGTGGAAAGTTATGCTGAACAACTTAGAGGATGAATAAGACCCGATGAAAGGGGGCAGGAAAAGTATTCCAGGCCAGGTGGAGTGAACGGGACGCTCCACATTTCGAGATCTTGAGAGACACCTCCTGGGAGGGAAGCTGTCTGGTGGGGCTGGGGTGAGAAGAGCTAAGAGGCTGGGTTATGAGGAGGTAGGCAGGGGTGCGAGGGCCTGCATAGACCCTAGTGAACCGCAGTGAGGCTTGATCTCGTTCGCGTGTCCTGGGAGGGGTGAAAAAAGGCTTGCTTGCTTCCTACCGGTCTCCACCCTCCGCCTCTCCACCCCACTTCCATTACGATCTCACCATCGCTTGCTCTCCTCTCAGTGCTTTTTGTCCTGCTTCTTTTTTCCTTAGGCGTACTGCACAAGGAAGTTCCTTCTTTAGGCAACTTCCTGAAAATGGATAGAGTTCTAGGATTTTTGTGATTCATTCATTCATTGTTAGTGCAAGAAACAGGATTGGGAAGTATCAAGTGTCCTTCAAAGGAAGACAGAGAAACCAAGAGGCCCAAATCTAAGGTATTTGATCAAAGTCAAAAGTCTGCGTGTCAAGGGAGCTGAGAGTGCTTATGTAAAAGAACTTTGGAAATGAGAAATCAACCGGTACATTTCAGAGTTTTTCAGAAAAGTCAAGACGAAATAGAAGCACCCTTTGAAAGCCTCTTCTTAATAGACCTGCGTTTGAAAAGATTTTTTAGAGATTGAACTTTGATGCTTTGATATAAAGCATAAGTAGAACCAACCAGAAAAGAATTTCTCCTAAATATGCCGTCAAGTCCCCTTCAGGAAATGGCATGCTGATGCTTGTCAGCCGAGGCGGGCGGCTGGGTGTTTATCCTCTAAACACCCTGTGTGGCCAATTAGGAACAGCACTGACAGGACCTTTGGATTTCAGTCTGGAAGTCTTTTCTTTTTTTCTCCTGCCCCTTTATAATGCTTTTTGCCAGCTTAAAAGACACATGCGTCAGACACACTGATGCAATGAGACGCTAATATCATATTGCATCATCTGATCCTAGGTGTGGTGCTCCTGAAACTGGTTTTTCTTGAGGTTATGCTGCAGTAGAAAAGCACTTTGGGTATAACACCCTGGAACTGGCCCTACTTGTTAGATGACAAAAGTAATTTTTGCAACTCCATGCCTCCATTCCACACCACTGTTCTCCCAGGGGAAGCCTGTGTGACTCTCCTGGCTGGAATCGGGTGTGCAACAGACATTCATCAGTTAGGTGTGTCATGCTGCCACTTATGTAACAAATGCTACATAGCGAGGTGCACCTACAGGCAAGCTGAAAATGACACTTCCTCCTTCAAACTGGGCTTGGAATTTCACCTCGCTTTAATTGAGCAACTTCTCCAGGGACAGGATGGTTTGGTGCAAAACCTGGAGAGGGGAAGCAAAAGAAGATGGCCGAGATTTCTCTGATACTTTGGGGCACAGGTGTCTGGCACTGTGCTGAGTATTTTACACCCAGAATTTTGGAAATGTGGCTCCAAGTGCCAGCCTGCCATCACTCTTTAACCTCGTCTTCAGCAAAATCATATTGCAAGTTAGATTCAGCTACGCTTAAGTTCTCTTCCAGGGTTGACGTGTGATTCTTTCCTTATTTCCTTCCTTTTTTGAGATAGAATCTTGCTCCTCCAGCACCCAGGCTGGAGGGTGATGGTATGATCCCAGCTCACTGCAGCCTCTACCTTTCTTGCTCAAGCGATCCTCTTGCTTCAGCCTCCCAAGTAGCTGAGACCACAGGCATGGGCAGCTACACCTGGCTATTTTTTTTTTCTTTTTTAATGTTTTGTAGAGACAAGGTCTCTCTCTGTTGCCCAGGCTGGTCTCGAGTGGTCCTCCCACCTCAGCCTCCCAAAGTTGTGGGATTATAGGGGTGAGCCACTGTGCACAGCCTCAAAAGTATAATTCTTTCTTTTTTTCTTTTTCTTTTTCTTTTTTTTTTTTTTTGGAGGCAGAGTCTCGCACTGTCACCTGGCCTAGAGTGCAGTGGTGCGATCTCGGCTCACTGCAACCTCTGCCTCCCAGGTTCAAGCAATCTCCTGCCTCAGCCTCCCAAGTAGCTGGGATTACAGGCGTCCACCCCGCCCAGCTAATTTTGTATTTTTAGTAGAGACAGGGTTTCACCATGTTGACCAAGCTGGTCTCGAACCTCTGACCTCATGACTCATCCGCCTTGGCCTCCCAAAGTGCTGGGATTACAGGCGTAAGCCACTGCGCCCAGCCTCAGAAGTGTAATTCTATTCAACTTGGCTACAGAAAGCTCCACCTGTACTTGGAAGATTAATTTTCTGATCCAGTGTCTATAAAAATGAAACCAATGATCCTGGGAGTGATGCACCAACCAATAGAAATGATTCTTTCTTTTTTTTTTTGAAACTGGGTCTCACTCTGTCACCTAGGCTGGACTGTAGTGGCGCAATCTTGGCTCCCTACAGCCTCGACCTCCTGGGATGAAACAATTCTCCTGCCTCAGCCACCCTCGTAGCTGAGACTGTAGACGTGCACCACCATGCCCAGCTAAGTTTTAAAATTTTTTTGTAGAAACAAGGTCTCACTATGTTCCCCAGGCTGGTCTCAAACTCCTGACCTCAAGCAGTCATTTTGCCTTGGCCTCTCAAAGTGCTAGGATCATAGGCATGTGTCACCGTGCCTGGCTTCTTTTTACTCTTTTCAATGTGCCTACCACAAAATTTAATATTACATATTAAGTTTTTTGTGGCTCATATGTTATTCCTATTGGACATCACTGCCTTCGAAAGCACAGCTGGAAAACCAGTAATTTCCTCCGGACCCAACTCTTTCTGCATCTGTTCTCTAGTTTCTCCTCTCTGTAAAATGGCAAGATAAAGTTTGGGCTAAATTTCTCTTGAGGTTACTTCTGGATTTCATATTCCCTGATTCTGAGGACAGCAGTCCCTGTGTAGTGTTTGGAGGGATGTTTTCTAGGAGATGCAGATCCAGTGGTCCTATATCTGCCAGTGAGTCATGAAATTTTCAAACCCAAAGAGTCTTTAAATATTGTAGTTGGACCTTTAAGTCCCCAGTCTGCGAGGCCCGCCTGGGCTTGACTTGTGGTTTCTTCATCTTTGTTTTTCTAGCAAGCACCCAGAGCAGCCTGGCATGTAGTAAGCTGTCAATATATGTTTGTTCATCTAAATAATATCCAGTGGAAGAACTGAAGCCAAGGGAGATGCTGAGGCCTCTTGAGGCCACACAGCTGGCAGATAGGAGAGCCAGGAAGTACACAGGCATCTGCCATCAGTAGGAGGATTGTCAGAAATACAGAATCTGGCCAGGTGTGGTGGTACACGCCTATAATCCCAGCACTTTGGGAGGCTGAGGCAGGACGATTGCTTAAGCCCAGGAGTTCAAGACCAGCCTGAACAACATAGTGAGACCCCATCTCTACAAAAATTAGAAAAAAATTAGCCAGGAGTGGCTGGGCGCAGTGGCTCATGCCTGTAATCCCAGCACTTTGGGAGGCCGAGGTGAGTGGATCACTTGAGGTCAGGAGTTCGAAACCAGCCTGGCCAACATGGTGAAACCTCGTTTCTACTAAAATATACAAAAATTAGCCGGGCGTGGTGGCAGGCAACTTAATCCCAGCTACTTGGGAGGCAGAGGCAGGAGAATCGTTTGAACCTGGGAGGCAGAAGTTGCAGTGAGCCGAGATCGAGCCATTGCATTCAAACCTGGGGGATAAGAGCTAGACTTCTCTCAAAAACAAAAAAGAAAGAAAGAAAAATATTAGCCAGGCATGGTGACGCAAACCTGTAGTCCCAGGAGGCTGAGGTGGGAGAATCGCCTGAGCCTGGGAGGTCCAGGCTGCTGTGAGCCATGATCGTGCCACTGCACTCCAGCTTGGGTGACAGAATGAGACCTTGTCTCAAAAAAAAAACACAGAATCTCAGATTCGGCCCCAGACCTACTGAATCAGAATGTGCTTTTTTTTTTTTTTTTTGAGTTGGAGTTTCCCTCTTGTTGCCCAGGCTGGAATGCAGTGGGGCAATTTGGGCTCACTGCAACCTCCAACTCCCAGTTCAAGTGATTCTCCTGCCTCGCCCTCACTAATAGCTGAGATTACAGGTGCCTGCCACCACACCCAGCTAAT